GTTACACCACCCGCACATCCAAACTTACAGCACATGGAATTCCCAAGAGGTCACCCATCTAGGTACTGACCAGACTCGACATTGCTTAACTTTGGTGATCATATGAGAACCGGTTTTACAACGAGATATGGCCGTCGGCTTTTACTGTTTAGGGAAGTGTCCGGGTCTGGGAAAGAAGCCGTCTGAGTAGAATTTCTTTTTAACTAATGAATATAAAGAGAATAAGGATGATTCGAACCCTGTGTGCATGGCATGGCGTGTCCTGGATGTCATAGTTTGATCTGACCCAACTAAGCATTATGGGAGAAGAGGTTGAAGGATGAAAAATATTTAGTCACTGACAAAGCCGCAAAAATTCTTTTGAACTACGTCCAGGCAGTCGTGATATGTCAGTAATACACGATTTTTGATCTCATCTGATTCTTTCTTAACCCTCGTTGCATGACGAGAGATTTGTTTCCCAACGGAGATATTTACTAAGATTAGCTTCGTCCGGCACATAGCTAAAATAGCTGAGCACTCAATGTTAACACGACACCCTACACCAGCATAGTCCTGGGTATGACGATAAACTAAATCCGACAGCAAGGCCTCTGACCGGGAGATTGGATGTTTCGAGAAGCGTGGAACCGCCTCTTAATTACTGTTGTTCTCAGGTTCACCCTAACCCGGGGTGGTAGCACCTGTTGGGGTCCCAGCTATGGGCAAACAGTGAACCCCCAAACAAGAACAAAAAACTATGAAAGTATACAAATACATTTTTATTGTAAAAATAGCAGCAATACATTTTTATTAGGTTGGTGCAAAAATAATGACGTAATAATGTCGTTTTTTGACGTATTTTTTAACGTCAAAAACGACATTATTACGTCATTATTTTTGCACCAACCTAATATATAAAAAAATTACCAACAATACCTATAGTCAAATTACAATATATTTTATAGCAAAATGACCAACAATTCATTTTATCTATAGCTGAAGGCTTAAAATTGCGTTCAAAATATATTTAGTTGAAGCCATAAAATTGTTCCAACAACCAACTTGAAAGAACACTTTCATGTCATTAATCCATATAATATTCTATAATTTCTCAAAGAAATCAAACTGTGCTCCCAAATATAACTTCCAACGTGTTTCCGGGGTTAGAACGGACTCCAGCTAGAATCTTTTCCAGCTGGGCTGGTCAAACACTCTACCTTCGGGCAGAGAGGATCCCCAAACGAGGCTATGTCGAAGGGCAGAGTCTTGCCTCAGGAAACAGCTATCCGACCCCGTTTTATACGGGAAATTTTGGCCGAGCCTACGGGCTCGGTCTCCCCAACTTTAAAACTCGACTTTGTGCCACATCTTACCTTGTGGGGAGGTTGGTAAATATATCCAACTATAACTTCAACAAAAGTACAATGTAAAACACATATCATCGCCTCTAGTAAGTATATCCACTCAAACATTTATATGCAAAAAAAGCTGAGTATAATCTACTATCTACTCAAATGTGAAAGCAGAATAACATTTTTATTACTTCAAACGCCCCAGAAAATTAAATGTCGGCATTAAATGACCCATAAGATGTTGATATGCCGTTAAACAAATTAATCATTCTACACCAGCAATGAGACACATGAATTTGTTTAGCCATAACTTTGTGCCAGGATTATTTCTATGTTCTTTTACTATGTGTCATGTCTCTTCTGAACGTAGGGGATCATGGCTCCCCATAGCTTCCTTGAAAGGGAGAGTAATAAAAAAGACAATCATTGCGAAGATCAATGTTTGATTTTTGTTCTATACCTCTCGTTACTTGTTTTACCATCCATTTACACAAGTTCTTTAGGTAGGCTACTAGCTAATTTCCTTTGACATTATTGCCTTCATTATGCCCTGGAAGTATCAAATTCTCCAAGCCTTCCTTCCTCATTATGCATCCTTTGACTGTCACTTTCTGATTAGAAGAATAAGTATTCGTTTTGTTTCCGTTCTCCTTAAAACTTCCAGTTTGATCATAAGTTCAGTTTATTATATTCTCAGTATCCTCCGGTAGGATTATATCGCCGTCCTGCCATCTGTTCATATAAATCCGTTAAGTAGATGTCTTGCTGCTTCTCAATGTTCCTTTTGCCTTCGATTTGTCTTGTGAGTGTCAAATGTTCCAAGCCCTCCTCTCTATTATGCGTCCCAACTGTCTGGTTCTGATTCTGTGTAGCAGAGTCTTTTTGTTTCCATCTTCCTTCACAATTCTTCGATGCCAACATGCCCCGTTCATGGTATTCTCCTTCTGTAAAACCAGACTTCTGATACCACAAGGCTCTTCATCTACGAGTAAATTGTCCAGCATTCTCTGCCATATACGTGGATTGATATTATATTACGGACTTGTTCAGTAACCTTTTTTTTTTTTTTTCTTTTTCCTAAGGAAATTTTTCTCTATATGAATATTTTGCTTAGTTTTTGTAAGGCATATTTTGTTATTCCAGTGCGCCTTCGGATTTCGGAGTCACATATTCCATCATCTGTTGCATATTTTCCAGATATTTAAACATTTGGATATTTTGATTTTGACATCTCCAGTTCGTAGCTGGTATCTTGGGCTCTTCATCTCACCGACAACCATACGCCCTGTCTTTAAACAATGGATGTTTAAACCTTTCTTCGTTTTCTTCAATGTGGATATTTTAACAAATATCAATAATTTGAATAAATATATTTCTTTCGCTGCAGTTATTAAAACTTTCTTAATTAAAGGTGTACAATAAGGTAACATTTAAAGCTGACAACGCCAACCATATATACAATGATTATATTTCTAACCATTGTTCTGTAATATGAGTCTTTGTGTTTTTCTATTAAGATCTTTATATACATTAGCTTCATCAGGTGTATAGGCAAAATAGTTTCCACCCAACATGACCAGAACATCCTGCCTGCAGTTAGGTACAAGGCTATGTCTTTAACATTCGCTCTGAGTCGGTAATTCTTATTTGTTTCTTAATGAAAATGTTTCCAAGGTTGATTGATTAACTGATTCGTTCTCTACGGTTTATCAACCCTTTTGCAGCTTATTTAAAGGCAGAATTTTTTTTTTTTAGATTGTAAGAATTTTTTTTTGTTTTTTTTTTTAGATTAATGTTTTAGTGAAACTAAAACATAGTTTGAGGGGAAGAAGTGCATTCATACCTTTCCCAGAGGTATTTACGCATAAGTTAATATAACGGACCCAACGGGAATTGAAACTTGACTCTCCAATTAAAAATTCCGGCCCAGTATCTATTACAACCTCCACACATCCAAGCTTACATCACCTATTAATCCCAATCGGGCATCCGATTCAAAGTCGACCCTGTTTAACTTCGGTGATCGTGCGAGAACCAATATTTAAACGTAATGTGGCCATAAGCCCCAGTTTACAAAGTTTAGCTTCGTCAGGCACAAGGCTAATATAACTAGGCACTCAATGTTTAGCAACACTGTACACTGGCAATATGACTACATTTGTAACTATTGCTCTGTGTCAAGAATCAATTTCTTGTTTTAAAGTTCAGATATTTAAAAGATTAGCTTAATCAGGTAGAAGGCTAAAGTATCTGAGCTTTCAATTTATTTTACCATAATGTTTACTCTTTACAAGGCGCAAGAGGTAGAGGGTTACTAAGTAAGAGGTAAAAGTCACAATTTATGAGAATGTGTTAACCTAGATTTAAACTGCTTAAGATTGTTGTGTTTGGAGAAGCATCCACTTGTAAGTAGGTACCACAAAGTAAACTGACACGCCATAGACAGACAGTAGATCACAAGTTTATATCTCTAACTATCATTCTTGTTGTGACCAAGTAAATGGTTAAAGAAATAACAAAACAAGTGATACAGATATAGCATATATTGAACAGTAAGTACGAGGGTCATTCAATAAATAAGGTGAATTTTTCGGTATAAGGACTTGTAATACAGATAGAAGCTTTTTTTTTTTCAACGTAGTCTCCCAGCACTGTCACACACTTTTCCCATCTGTGCACAAGCTTCCGTATTCCCTCAGCGTAAAAATCTTTGGACTGATGTCTCAGCCAGTCGCTCACAACACTTTTGACTTCATCGTCACTTTTAAACTTCATGCCTCTCGTGAACGCTTTCAAGGGACCAAACAGGTGAAAGTCTGAAGGGGGCAAGGTCTGGGCTGTAAGGGGGGATAAGGGAGCAGTTCCCAGCCCAGCTCGTTGATGATCTGCACCGTTTGGGCTGCTGTGTGAGGCCTTGCGTTGTCATGATGCAAGATGACACCTTCTGACTGATGACCCCTGCGTTTGTTCTTTATGTCTTTCTTGACCTGACTCAGCAGTTCACATTAGTTCTTCTGTCAGACTGAATGAGGTCATTGACTGATTCGATCACCTCAGGAGACCTCACTTCTGTAGGCATCCCAGGCTTGTCTTCATCCACAACACTGCTCCGTACCAAACACAGTTGACATTCTCCTATGAATTTCAACTGGTTTTCACCCTTCAGCAACCAAAAACTTGATAACTGACCGCTGTTCAATCCTGGAGCATGCTTCTTGGTCGGCCATCTTTGTTAATCGGCAAAACTCTCAAAGTTCTTTTTAATCTGCAAAAGAAATTAAATCCATGTGAAAAAGAAGTAAAACAAAAAATTTAAAAAAAAAAAGTAAGCTTCTATCTGTATTAGAAGTCCTTATACCGAAAAATTCACCTTATTTATTGAATGACCCTCGTACAACAGAAGAGTATTACACGACTAGTGAATGTGTGTCGGTTGACCCAGCGTTCAATCTATTCGACTGTTGATATTTACCAGCCTCCCCACGAGGTAGGATGTGGCACAAGGCCGAGTTTAATGGGAGGTAATCCGACCCGTAGGCTCGGCCAAGAATTCCCCATAGATATAAAACGGGGTCGGGTAGCTGTTTTCTGAGACGAGACTCTGCCCTTCGACATAGCTTCGTCTGGGGATCCTCTATGCTTGGAGCACAGTGTTTGACCAGCACAGCTGGAACAGATCTATTCGACTTTTATATTTAACAGCCCCCAACGAGGGATGTGTATGGCACAAGGCCGAGTTTACTGTGGGCTCTCTGATCCCGTAGGCTCGGCCAAAAATATTCGATTAGAACCCGTATAAACGGGTTCAGAGCCTGTCTACCTCCCCGGACGAAACTTTGTCCTTCGTTAAAGCCTCGCCCAAGTTCCTCTCTATTCAAGAGACTTCGACAGTAATGAATAATCTATTCGACTGTTATATGCCACAGCCCCTCACCACCACGAGGAATGTATGTGACAGAAGGCCAAGTTTACCGTGGGTTCTCACAGCCCGTAGGCTCGGCCAAAAATATTCCCTTAGAACCCGTATAAACGGGTTCAGGCTCTGTCCACCTCACCGGACAAAACTTTGCCCTTCGGCAAAGCGTCATCTGGGTTCCTCTCTGCTCAAGGCAGAGAGTTCAACAGTTGAAAAATTTGGCACTGTTCCCCCCACAGCATTCTTTCCTACTAATTTTATAGTAGGCGGAAGAGTCCAATATCGACTCTTTAGAGGGAGGACACCACAACAACTCTGTGACAGGAATCTTTTTCCTTTTTCTTTTTTTTTTTTGATGCAGATATTTACAAAGATTGGTCTAGTCGTGCAATAAACGAACAATGTTGGCGTAATACTCTGCATCAACTCCGGTGCAAATGTCTATATTTCAAAATATCACTGCGTGCGGAATCCTTGCATCATTCCCTATAGAGATGTCTACTATGATTAGCTTCGTCAGGCACAGGATTGAAATAGCCGAGCACTTAATGTTCACAACATTTCAGCGAGGCAAACGGCTCTATTTCTTATCATCGCTCTGTCAGGAATCTATGGACTTCTCCATATTTTTAGGTCAAATTCAGTCGAGTACAGGGCCATCAAAAATTAGCACATACAATTAGTCAGTTATGTGCCATACGTGAAACACGCGTAGGCGATCATGTATCTTTTGATACATGACTGACGAGGCAGATTTTTCCTGCAGTAGGTTGACATTTCTTTCTGCGGTAGAACCCGGTCTGTCCTGCTATTTACCCATAGCTGGAGAAAGAAGAGGAGGATCCATACCCTTCCCAAGAGTATTAGCACGTATGTGAATGTAATGGATTCCATTGATATTAGTATAAACCAATGCATGTGTTCGTATCCAACTCTCGTTATATCTGTGTACCCAAATCAGTCAGCTATGTGCCATACGTGATGCACGCTTAGGCGATCATGTATCTTTTGATACATGACTGACAAGGTAGATTTTTCCCGTAGTAAGTTGCCATTTTTCTGCGGTAGACCAGTTGCCATCCAAGGCTATATAATCCGGTCTGTCCTGCTATTTTCCCATAGCTGGTGGAAGCCAGTTATGTGCCATGCGTGATACACGCTTAAGCGATCATGTATCTTTCGATAGATGACTGACTAGGCAGATTTTTTTTCCCGCAGTAGTTTGTCATTTCTTACTGCGGTAGACCAGTTACCATCCAAGGCTATATAACCCGGTCTGTCCTGCTATTTGCTCATATCCGGGGGAAGTTAGTTATGTGTCATGCGTGATACACACGTGGTTGATCATGTATCTTTCGATAGATGACTGACGAGGCAAATTTTTTCCCGCAGTAGTTTGTCATTTCTTACTGCGATAGACCAGTTACCATCCAAGGCTGTATAACCCGGTCTGTCCTGCTATTTGCCCATATCCGGGGGAAGTTAGTTATGTGTCATGCGTGATACACACGTGGTTGATCATGTATCTTTCGATAGATGACTGACGAGGCAAATTTTTTCCCGCAGTAGTTTGTCATTTCTTACTGCGGTAGACCAGTTACCATCCAAGGCTATATAACCCGGTCTGTCCTGCTATTTGCCCATATCCGGGGGAAGTTAGTTATGTGTCATGCGTGATACACACGTGGTCGATCATGTATCTTTCGATAGATGACTGACTAGGCAGATTTTTTTTCCCGCAGTAGTTTGTCATTTCTTACTGCGGTAGACCAGTTACCATCCAAGGCTATATAACCCGGTCTGTCCTGCTATTTGCCCATATCCGGGGGAAGTTAGTTATGTGCCATGCGTGATACACACGTGGTCGATCATGTATCTTTCGATAGATGACTGACGAGGCAGATTTTTTTTCCCGCAGTAGTTTGCCATTTCTTTCCGATTGACGGCATCAATTCCTTTCCCGAATCATAAGCAACATGAAAACTGTCATTCATTGATGTAATCGTCGTATCTTTTTTTTCTGTCTGGAGACATTTAGCTTTGTCTAACACAGTTCCAAAATAGCAGGGAACTTGGTGAGGGTTCAACTCCTTCTACTAACGTTAGTCCAAGGGGTTAACTTTTTTTCAGCATCGTTAGTTCTACAACTGGATTACGCCCCTTTGGAAAAGAGAAATTCACAAGAGTCATGTGACTGCCGGCGAGTAACGTCAGTTCGTAGAGAGACGAATGCCAGTTGCTACTTAGCATGCCTAGAGACAAGACGTGTCTACCAACGCTAGCTGCTATGAATACAGTGAAGAAGCAAGCCGTGATTGCCCACAACAGTTAAGACATCAGAGAAAACCACATGGGCTCACTGGGTACATAGGTGACAACGCTAGCCTGACAATTCTTTCTTGCTAAAATAAAAGATGTTCCAATAACTTGAACCGATATTAAATCTGAATTAGGTCTTAGAGTCTAATATTTTTTTTTCTTTTTCTTTCAGATTTGGCGGGCATTTGGGTGATATTATTTTTCATACATAATTGCCATGACTTAAATAACATGGTGTGGAATCGTGCATGGATTCCACCTATTTTTGCACGCGCGCGCATATTGCACCTCTTCCTTTCAATTTCGGCTAGACATAGCAGTAAACCAGCCTGTTTGTTGCCGACAAGGTTGCTGGCTGCTCCAGATACCGTCTAGAACGGAATTTGAAGTTTTCCCGTGCATTTCTCTGACGTCACTGACAAACTTCGTTTTTCAAGTCAGTCGCTGCCTGATTTTCAAACTAGAAGGTCGACTCATTTATTCCGTGCCCCTGACCCATAACCGGGCCGGAATATCTTAACTAACCAAAAACTTCAACATGTCGTGTGATTACAACCTTTCTTCAAACAACTTGTTTGAACTTACCTCCGTTTTTCTCCTAGAGAACGTAGAGTCTACGACAGTGTCGTCATCACACTTTTCCAAGACTAATTCCTCGTCTTGATGAGAACAACTTGTTCGAACTTTCTTCCGTTCACTACCAGAGTCTACGACACTGTCGTCATCACACTTTTCCAAGACTAATTCATCGTCCTTCTGCGAACAACTTGTTCGAACTTTCCTCCGTTCACTATTAGCGAACGTAGAGTCTTTCGACACAGTCGATTGAAGAACTTCACTTACCTCCTTTTGAACTCTAACCTTTACGAACCAGTTTAAAAAAAAAGATAACATTACACACACATTATTAAACCTCGCAGTGAGTATTTTTCCTTGTTGTGTACGTTTACACCTTTTGTAGAAGAAGACTATATTCCAGAACCTTCCTTCTGAAGAAACTTTTCCCGCCTTAGCCATTTTGATTTTTGTTTTGGCGCGGAACATTAACATTCTACTAGTCAATACATTATACAATCTGCCTACTGGCTAAGAACAGTCCTTACTTTTTCTGATAGTCTCCACTTTTGAGACAAGTTTATTTGTTATTCAAATAAAGTTTTATATTTGTCTTCCACCAGACTCGTTTTTGTCATTACTCCTGGGTACCTTTTTTTTCCCCCTTTGATGCACGTGTTGAATACAGTCATTTTTATTCTATCCTTTTTTTTTTTACTTTGTTAGTGGAGTCGGTAATTGTAAGTAGTGTCTGGCACAAGGACACCTTTTCGTAGGCCAGCACTGCATGCTACCTGGGTCCACTACAATGGTCGAATAGAGAAATACATTTTCACCAATAACACTGACTTATTTACTCCAGACTTTGATCCGTCTTAATGAAACACCCTTATATATAATCCGCCTTAATGAAACACCCTTATATATAATCCGCCTTAATGAAACACCCTTATATATAATCCGTCTTAATGAAACACACTTTATTACACGACCCTCTAGTTTTTGACCCATTTCACACTGCTTGTTGTATTCATGTTATAATTTCTTTGTGTGAGACAAATTTAAGTATTTATATATATGTATGTAATTTCTTGTATGACATAGTGGTATATAAAATCTCTTTGAGAATAATGCATTTTCGTCATTCCTTTCTTTCAGATATTCTGCTCCGTCCGTGTATTAAGGTGTTACTATAAAACGGATGTATTTATGCCTGTAATGGGCGAAAATGAAAACTAGGAATATTCTCTCTTGCCTAGCCCCCACCCCTAATATGCGTATTTTTTTTTTTTATCTGCATATATGCGTATGAGTGCGTGCTTCTGTTTGTTTTTCTGCGCATGCATTTGTGTGTATAAATATTTGTTGATCTCGATGGAAACGATAAATTGGAACGCACGCCGGTGAAGTGAATAGGCGGTCATTTTTGACACCTTCTTTATCAACTGAAATCGAGTCTTGAGTATATATTTTTCATCATTTTTTTTTTTGCTTTCCATTTTGACCAAAAACATTGCCTAGCGGATATGGAAAAAAAATGTTGAAGTTATTTTCATTTTCTGTGATGCATCATCCAATGCAGCATGGATTATTCAGATGACGTTAATGTGTTTTTTCTTCTCTTTTTTTTTTACGCATCTTACGGTATTGATAGCGATGGCTATTGTATTAAGCAATATATATATATATATATATATATATATATATATATATATATATATATATATGTATATATATATATTGTGTGTATTTAGGCAGCATTTTTTCATTGATGCATGTTTTATTTATAGCAATGGCTTCCCATACTTAATACTTCTCGTTTTCACTCTCGCGTGGTCATGAGTGACGTCATGAGCTCCGTTGCGATTTTTGCTTCCGCGTCTCGTATACACGAGTTGGTCGTTGCTTTGAAATCTTTCCTGCAACAAAAACAGTCTATCATTATTGTTTTGTCCGTGTATTTTGTAATATATTGAAATGTAATTGTCATCTTTGATAATTGCTTATGAAATCTGAAATCTTAGATAAGATTAAAAAACATATATCAATATGGTGATTTTCTTTCATCTTTCAATGATATTTTAAGCTTATCAAACAATATGAAAGTAATTTACTTAAATAAATAGACAAAACTTGTCAATATTATTTAATGAAATATGCATCAACATATATATATATATATATATATATATATATATATATATAGCAATATTTTATTTTGACACATTCAACCCCAAGCAGAGATGGAAGCCACTAGAACGCAAAGGGTTACATAGTGTTTGAGCGTGAGCAAAGAGGAGTGATAGAGGAAAGGATGAAGAGAAGGTTAGGGGATAGATTAGGGCATCTGGAGACAATGTCGATTGACGTTACATTTGAATAGTTGGAGATTATAGCTATCAGGAAAATAAAAAATGGGGAGGGAGTTCCACAGATGAGAAGTGCGAGACATGGAGCTATTGGAGTAGAAGAGACGGTTACATTTAACAGTTTAGACAGTGAAAGGGTGAGAGCGAGATGCTAGCCTAGTTGAACGCTTAAATTCGTGAAGTCTGGGAACCAGCGAAAGCAGGTTATCGGAGCAGTTACCGTGAAAGTATTTGTAAAAAAGACAGAGGGAGGCGACAGCACTTCTATGAGAGAGCAGCTGTAGACGAGATGCCAGATCTGGGCCAATTATATTGCATATCCGTCTTTGGATTTTATCAAGGACCTTGAGACAAACAGAAGGGTCTCCAGACCATATATGGCAGCAATACTCCATGCAAGGGCGAATGGTTGATCTGTAGCTTTGAAGGATTGACTCCGGCGAGAAAAATTTCCTGGCGCGGCATATGGAGCCGTCTTTCCTTGCGGTGGACGAAGCTATTGACTCAATGTATTCTCAGGTCAGCGGACAATGTGAGACCGAGCAGTCGCAAAGGGGAGCTCTCGTGGAGTTGAGCGTCAAATATTCTAATGGGAGGCAGGGATGGTTCTCTCTGGTGAGTAATAGAGAGCATTTTTTTTTTTTTTTTTTGAGGCATTAAAGTTAACCAGCCAATTCCTACCTCAGTCCACAACCGATTGGATGTCCTTTTCTAGATAAACGGCCAGGTTAGTTTTGTCGGCGACTCGAGATTTGTTTTTGAGGCAGGAGTAAATAGTAGTGTCGTCGGCATAGATGCCTACTTGGGAAATATACATGATCATTAGTATTATTATCATTATTATTAATATTACATTAACATGGTCCCAGCAGACCTATCTGGTGTTTGTCCCTCGAGTGACAGCAAGCCCACCCTCCAATCCTCAAAAGTATTCACGGTACTCGCCCCTACTGCCATAGTCTGGATATTTTCAATCCATACTTCCTAAAATTTCAAATTGCTCGTACCTCGCCTCGATTTCCTTTCCATATTGAATAGACCAATTACTTATTCCTGTATCTTGCGCTTTCTTCAAATTGCGTCTGAGGCCCTGCCAGTTTCCAGCTTGCTTCGTTTACCCTGATTTCGGCCCTGTCTTCTTGTCCAACCACTACTTTTATGAAAACCACTGCTTTGTGGAACAAGCTCCCGATGGGATGCTTCCGCGATCGCTACAATCTTAACGTCTTCAAGACTAGGGTCAACCGTTATCTACATTATGTAATTTATACTCGCATTTTTATATTTCGAACGACAGCGATTATATGCATTTGCAATTATAGCACGGATAGATCACCCACCACACTATAATTATTTATTTAGACACACATTCTTCTAGGAGCTACTTATAACTAATATAAAAATTAAGCTGAGCAAAAATGAATTTATCGAAATTTCATAAAAAAATTTAAGTGTTGAATAACAGATTTAAAAAAGATGTTTTGCCAAGTTTTTCAGAAAAGAAACATTTCTAAAATATGTTAATTCATTTATGAATATCCGGTAATTATTTGATTTTTGAAAGAATTTCCAAAACCATTTGTTTTTTCACGACAAAAAGACTCTATATTAAATTATGGTCTCCGCTGAAACACAAGAAACACAACACTTTCAGATAAAATTCCGAACGTTCTAAAAAGGATAAATAATATAATAATAATAAAAAATCTTTTGTCTTTTCCTCTTAATAATAACATAAAGTATAAAGATGTAGATGATAAAACTTTGTTTGGGGCATTTTTTTCATCATGGTATGCACATTTTTAGCGAAAATTTGGAGGTACCTATATATATATATATATAATTATTTATTTAAAAATATGATTCCAACTCGCGACATAAGAGGTCTCATGTTTCAAAACAAGAGCCGAAAACTTCAATATAATTATTTGAATTAAATTGAGTTAAAGATGCTCTACATGTATCGAGCACTATTTTTTTTTTAAATAATAACTAAAATACTAAGGA